ATTTGAAAACTGCTAAGTGGGGTTTTGTCATATTTAATTTAAACTTGACCAAAACATATACAGACTCAAAAGATAGGATGTTAGAAGGAAGTTGAAGGTGAAAACATCTATTATTCAGTAATTTTTCTTCCTGTGTCTCTAATGTAATTTTTCTCCCTGCTCCTAAATAAATAAGGAAGACAATTTCCATTAAAAGTGGATGAGCTGGAAGGCTGAGTAGAGGGTTTTCTACTCTGAAATCTAAATTCCTTAATCTTCAAAATCAATGCCCAAGTGCTCATTTGTCTCATGTTCCACCTCCACAACCATATTATCTGCTAAGTAATCTGCAATGACTTTATTATTAATAGACAATGTCATGATTTTCCTCTAGCAAACTTCCCGAGGGCTTCATCTCTACTGTGAGCAAGACAATAATATTTACTCGCACTAAAAAAATAATTTTGACATTTCTTCTGACCATTAATTAAGCTCGAAAAGCACTTACCACACTACTGTTAGCACTTCATGCCTGACTAAACCTACAGAGAAAGAAGTGAAGAGAACAATTCAATATATTGTGAAATAAATGTGCAGTGAGGATAACACAATACAGAAACATGAATACAACCAACAGAAAACTGATTTTTCTACTTTGATCAAGAACTAGAGGCTTCTGGTAAATATCCATTATATGTTTTGCTCTATACTAGTCACAATTTTTTAATATACTCAAAATTCACCACAGTTATTCCTTTTTCCACTTAAATAATTACTGGAGCAGGACTTTTGCATCTTGTGTAAACATCATTAGCACTCATGCTTCTTTCTGGGATCCGGAGGGATTTTCCCCCTCTTTTCTTTTTTTTTCTCTGTTTCCCCTTTCTCTCAGGAATACTTTTTCTTTTTGATGTGCTATTTTGTTCCCACAAAGAGTTTGGGTTCTGATCATTAGATATTTTCCAACAGAAACCCATTCCATGAGAAAATCTCCAAGCTAGTAATTTCTCTAACTACAAGCAGTTTGCCTCCCATGGTCCCAGGTCCAGCAGCAATCACACAAATATCAACAAAACTTCACAAGTTCCTCCAGCCCAACCCACTCCTGTAGCCATGGCTTATATAAAATTGAATATAGAGAGACATTTCTACCTTTTTCTGGGATGCTACAGTGCTGTCCCTCTGTGGCCACCAATGGCTTCCTGATAGACTTAAATCTAAAATGTGATTTGAAATTCAATTTCAAATGAAATGTAAAATTTAATTTCAAATCAAATTCCAAATTTAATCTAAAAATACATTTTATTATAAAGCTGTCTCCCAATGCATACAGGTATGAAGAAATCTCTCTGCAAACACAACATGTTTTCTCATTGTCAGTGTGCATTGTAGCAAAATCACGCTGGAGTTTGCTCTTCCCCAGCAGACACCCCCACTGCAGGAAGAAAATTGGAAAAAAAAAAAGGCAAAAAGCAAATGCTTTCCTCTGTATTTGAAAAACATTGTGTGTAAATTTTCAGCACAAGGTTCTGAGAATGAAATATTATGTATTACACATACAAAAGTCTGCCAAAATGACAGCAGCTCTTGTTATATTTCTTTTGTCAGGGAGAAAAACTTTTCTGAATTGCCTCACTATTTTATTAGGAAATGAAAAACAAATATCAAAGTGGCATTTCTTTTAGAGTTGTATTGTAAATGGAGTTAAATACATTGAAAATGTAAACATGGTTTGATTGATGTGTAGTAGATCTCCCTATTTATCTGCATTTCCCTATTCACATCACATTTTGTTCTGAGTTTGACCTGGGTTCTTTTCTTAATGCTCAATATTTTTGTAGGGAAAAGACACCCTCCTTCTCAAGCTGTCATCTGCAAATCCAAAAAGAGAAGTGTCTTCTTCTGATCAACCTGATGATCACCACAGACCTCTCCATCTGTGCTGCAGTTCTGGCAAATATTCAGGTGTGAAGTAAACTTGAAACATTTGAAATTCTCAGCCAAAAATAAGTGTGAGTACTTTGCTAGACAAAGCCAGCTTAGGTACAGGCAGAATTTTAGCAAAGACTGGGGTGACTACACACGCCTGTACTAAAAATAGAAATACTTCTTCAGACATTTATTTAGCTTTCCTAGTGCAGAAGTGGAACAGGAAAGGACTCGCATTGTCAATCAGTCCTAAGGCTCTCACCCAGTTGGAACAGGACATGTTGTGCACTGTATTTTTACCCATTTCAAAAGGCTGTGGATTAATTTTTTTTCCCTGACATGAGAAATGTTGGTGGAAGCACTGAAGAATTGGAGAGTGGCTGTGATTTGCTGCTAAAGTAAACATGAGCCAATGCTGCAACCAGATCACATTCTTGTGGTGAAGAGACTTTAATTCTCAGCCACACTGAGAAGCAGCAAAAAGAGCTCAAAGGAAATAGGCTGAGCTTTCTTTAGTGTGGGAATGAAAACATGGGAAAAAATGGGGACATTTGGCCTCATTTTACCTACCTTGATCCTTGGGATACACCAAGAGCAGTTCAGGATGAGATGCCCCATCCCTGGAAAGTGTCCAGGTTGGATGGGGCTTGAAGCAACCTGGGATGATGGAAGGGGAGACTGGATGGGCTTTAAGGTCTTTCCCACCCAAATCATTCTGGGATTGTAAAGACCCTGCAGACAAGAAATAAAATTGATTTCTCCATTTTAGAGAGAGCAGTGCTGTCCTGCCCAAGCAATCTCTGCACTGAGTGTGTGGTGGCACTTCCAGGCAGGACTGGAACCCCACTAGTGAGCAAATACATGGCAAAAAACCCTCCCACTACAAAAAATCTTCACCAGGACAAGTACAGGGAGGGAGGAGAACTGCCCTGTCGGGTCCCCTGTGCTGACTGAGGTGTGAGGAGCAGAAATGTCACAGATCTGGATAAGGTGACCCAGGAGCTTTGAGGTGACCCATCAGACATGTCCAACCATCCTACAAGCATGGGAGGTCAAATGATAGCCAGGCTCTTCCTCCCCAGTATCTTTTCCTTCCTTTGAGGACATTTCTGTGCATGCACCAGAGAGGATTTAACATCAGTGGAGAAAAAAAATCTGCTCATCAGTCATCAGTCCAGGACTTTCTATTCCTCTTCTTAACTGCATAAACTCTGTTACAAGTCTGAAATAATGCTGAGGAGCTTCTCATCTGATTTGACTTGAAGATGCCCTAAATTATTCTGAAAGCACCACCAATTACTCTCCTGAGAGCTGGATGGGGATAAATCAAAGCCTGGGGACGCTGTTGCTGCAACAGTGACAGCAACAAAACAGACATCTGGTGTTTTTCACTGTAATAATGTCAAAATTCAGGAGAACTCTGAAGTGCTTCAAGAATTCCGTACCCATCTTACTTCACATATGGCAAGAATTAGATTTTTAGAAAAAAACCTTTTTCCATAAAGTACATAAAATACACGTTGCAGAGAATTAGATTGAATTAAAAGGATTAAAGTTAGGGATCAATTGGATTCTTATTTGAACTGCAGATGTCTGGATCAGGAATAACTTCTGAAATTACGGATCTTTTGGAGGTAAGAATTGTTTTCAATTTAAACCTTTAATTAAAAAAAAAATTAAAAATCCCCAAACGCAAACCTAAAAGGAAACCCTGGTGACACAAACATTCAGCTGGTCAGGATAACTGAGAATCTAAAAGTGACCAAAGGAAATCTGGTGCCAAACTGAAACCTAAAGCACCTTCTTGTCTTTTGACCCCCCCACACACCTAAACCCAAAGTAGATCTCTGATAAACCAAAACTTTTGTATTAATTCCCACAGGAAGGGAAATGGAAATATCTCCCAAGGAGTTCTGTGGGTGTAATACAAACTTATTCTTTGTATTATTGTTGCATTGAGACTTGGCCTTTGTGGCTGTTGTCCCTTTTTTTGGTGGAGAATTAGGCACCTTTATGAGAAGAAAATGTGTGTTTTAAGAGGATGGTTGCAGCTGGTGATACCTGGGCTCCCTCTCCTGGCTCTTCCTGCTTTGTTGCTTTGCAGCTTTTCCTGCTGATCCTCAGACCTCTCTCTCTGAGCAGTTTAATTCCTCATCAAAGTAGAACTGGGATTAAATATTGCAAATTGGGCTGATTTTGGGGAGCAGCAACAGAGCTCTGCCACAGGAACCCACAGAATTTCCCTCCTGCTAGCACATACCTACACGTTTTTTACCTGTTCATTGTTTCTTTAAGCTTTCTGAGCTGTATAAAGAGTCAATAAACAGCAACCAGGTTTTTCTTCTAAAACAGATTTTTTTTCTTTTGCTGTGTAGGATGGAAGAAATCTTCTAGGAAGGAGATGTTTGCCATCAGGTTGCTGTCCTGCTGTCACTGTGTTTCTCACTCTCTACACCCTCTATTAAATTCCACAGCTGTCCTGGCTTGTAAGATCAGCACGGATTCTATTTGCCATCTGCTGGAGGTGGGGCAGGTTTCTTATCTCTCCCAAGAACAATGTCTCCCTCCAGGGAGAGATCTTCTGTTAATGGGCCATTAATGACTCACTGCACGACTGGGAAAGTTCCATCAGCCCATGGTGAGATGCTCCGCCCAGAGGGAGGAGCCAAGCAGCCCTACCTGCATAAAATCAGCATTTTTGGGCCACCAGGGCAGCCCTTCGCTGGATTCCCAGAGGAGCAGCTTCTTCCCCGCTGGATCCCCAGAGGAAGACCAGACCCATCTACTCCATCCCCGACCTTCAGAGAAAACTCCACCCTTCTCCAGATCCCCGCTCCAGCAGCATTTCATCTGCCACTGCAGGAGGAGCAGCCACCATTTCACTGGACTGTTACCAACACCCTGACTCCTCAGGGTGTCAGGTTTCTGACTCCATCACTAGTTGCAGCCCTGGGATCATTTTAAAGGCCTCCTCTGGACCTGCTCTAGCAGGGCTGGGTCTTGCATGTGATGGGGGGAGCTGGACCTGGAGCCTCCAGAGAATGGAGCAGAGAGCAAGAACTTCCAATCCAAACCTTTCACACAGACCATCGTGCTTCTTATCTTTATTCAGATTTCTGCCACTTCCTTGTCTCCGGTCTCACTGTCCAGGAGCTCAGAATTGGCTCTCAAAACCGTGAGGTGCCTGTGGAGAGAGGGGAAGCTGCTGAAGCCCTGCTGTGAGTGGGTATGTGGTGGGTGTGAGGATGTGGAGCAGTGCTGGACATCCTGTGGGACGTGGACACCCAGCAGCTGTGAGCATAGAGAGCTCTGGACAGAGCATGGGGCACCAGCTCCCACCACAAATCCCTGATGAGTTTGGCCAGTGACCAGCTGGGCATCCAGTTTCTTGAACTGCCTCATGGCAGGTCCAGCTACCAAAATTTGTATAGCGTAGGCATGGCCCTTTCCCAGCCCATCCAAAATTTGGCAAGCCTGGAAATGCCTCATGGCAGGTTCAGCCCCACGGCACCAACATTTGGCAACCCCCACACCCCATAAGTCACTCACTTTTTTATGTCTTTTGCCCATGCAGGGGCCACCTTGAGCAGCAGCAGAGCAATCAGGCTGCAGACCACAGACACAAGGAACACTCTTCTAACACTCCAGGTGATTTCAGCATCAACTATGCCTGTGCTTGCCATATCCTCCACAGTGTTTGGGTCTGTCTTGGTGTCCTCAGCACTGCTGAATCTCTTTTCCACACCTGGAGGATATTCCCAAAGCTCTGAAATCCCTAGGAATGGGATGTGTGGGGTGGGGGACATCTCGCTGCACTCACAGAGGGGCTGAGTGTGTGTCCCTGGTGCAGGCATGGCCACAATCTCTACCCTGAGAATGGCCAAGGGACAGGGATTCCCTGACTCACCCGTTGGCTGAAGGGCCTCACTGCTTCCCCCAGGGACTGGCACTGCCTGACGACCTTCCTGAGGTGCCTCCTTATCCACAGGCTCGGCATTCAGCACTTTAGAGAGACAGTGTGCCAGTTTAATTCCAAGTCACCCTTCCTCATGGGAATCTGAAAGTCCAGCTCCCCGACTCCAGTGATTAAGAGTCACTTGTACCTGGAGGTGTTTCCTTCAGTAAAGTAATGAATTCAGACTGTTCCATTAATGGCCAGGAAATGTTTCCCAATCCAGTTTTATTCTTCAAACCTTAAGGGAAAGAAGGAAAAATTTTCACCACAGAAATCCCTGGCTGTGCGATCGGTCAGGACTGACCAGTGACCCTCATGGTGCTTGGTCTGGCTGAGGAGCTGGGAAAGTTCAGGGACACCAGACCCCCATGAGGAGCTTCTGCCACTCTCTGTGGTGTTCCCAGTCTGCTGGACTGACCAGCAGCACAGGGACAGGATCATGGAATGACCCATCACACCCAGCAAGGCTGGATTCTCATACCTGCAGGAGATGCCTCGCTTACATTTGGGCCTTGAGCTGGCAGTTCCCAAAACAAATCAAAAGCCACGTAGAATCCAGGAGAGTCAGATCCAGCACCTGGATCTTCACTGCCTCCATCCATGGCTGTGAACAGGACAGAGAAGCTCAAATGAGATATTTCCATGTACTTTCCATGGCAGGAACTGTGGTTGGAACATGGAGTGGCTCTGGGGATGTGATTGTCCCTTCCACTCTGGAAGGTCTCTGGAGTATCATGCAGGCAGGTGTCAGGTGTCTGACCCCTGATGATCCAAAATAAACTGTGCAGGAGCTGTCAGGAGCTAAACCCAGCCTCAACAGTCCTGCTGGCATTGCTTGTGGAAGCATCTCAGGGTTGTAATCTGGGAGGAAATATTCTGCATAGGTGCATGTTCTGGGGCTATCCCTGATCCCGACCCACTGCATCCCTGCTCTGCTGCACAGCTGAGCATCAGCCAAAAAAAGTATTATATTTTCTATCAACGGGAAATATAAAAATGTAAAAAATATAAAAAGTACAATATCCTATCAACAGGATATTAAAACCTAAATGTTCCTGTGGGACCTGCCCCAGTGCCCCTCCCTGCCCACCTACCTGCTCCTGATGGTCCTGACTCACCCACGGGGGACTGGGCCCTGGGGGCTAGCAGGGCTATCAGGGATAACAGGATCACCAGGGACACCAGGACTGTCAGGGCTCTCTGGAGAGCCAGGAGGACGATGCTGGCCATGGACCACTGTGCCCACGCCATGGCCACAGATGCTGCTGAAGCCTCACCCGCCTGCTCTGCACACCAGAGCCCGGCTGTGTGACCCCTCAGGGGGCTGTGCCAACCCTCAGAGGGCTGTGTGACATCATGAGAGGCTTCTACCACCAACATTCCACTGTCTCCAGGGTGTGGGAATCCAGGGCTTCCCTCTGGCTGCCTTGGCAGGGGTCAGGAACACCTCTGGACAGAGCCCCCAGAGACACTGGTTGTGATCTCTGTCCATGGAAAAGAGTTTTCACTCTTACAGGATGAATTACCAGCTCTGAGTGTTTGATATAAGTAATAATTAAGTGTGGCACGGGTGCAAAAGTAAAATTTTAGGATTCTAGATTAGGGGTCCAAAGGGGACAAGATGGAGGAAATTGGGTGTGCCTTGTCCTTTTTCTCCTTCTTCATGCCCTCCATGTTTCACTGTGGTGTTGGCATTTTTCTGTTGGTTCAGGCTGGGGACACACTGTCCAACGTAGGTGACAGATATTGGCACGTTATTGTAAATCCAGCACAGGTAGTTTGTGGTATTTAATGTTTGTACCATCCCACTGAGGGCAGAGCCCCACACGCTGCCCTGCAGGACAGAGCTGCGGCAGGGCAGCAGAACATGTTAGAGATAAACAGAATAAACAACCTTGAAACCAGCACAGACCAATTATGGCTTCTGCTTTGGCAGTGGGGCAGAAAGACAGAGATTTTTACAATCTTGAAATCATCAATATCTCAGATTCCAACACCAGGGGAGCTCCTAATGTCCTGCATGACAGTGGAGGCGTGGCCCTACCCCAGCCCACCCAAAGCTCTAGGAAACTCTACATAGGAACTTCACTTGTCTCCAGAGCAAACCCGAGAGCAAAAGGAGGCACTCCAAAATCATGATTTTTAGCTGTTCAATGGAAAAATGGAGATCAGGCTGATTTTTTTGGGACAGCATTTCTGTCAAGGGTTAGAATTGTAGAACCCCAGTGAAGCAATACATGAAATAAATAAATAGACTCCACAAGCTGGGGTAGTTATGAAGTGGGTGTGTACTGTCAGTGCTTGGCACAAGTGAGATATTTCTCCAAAAACTCGTGCCCTGAGCCTCAGTCTGACCCACACTTTTATTCACAAAGGTGTTCCATATGCAGTACATTGCACAACTTTTTTATGCATATTCATCCCTGGCCATGCCTGTCCTCACCTCTCATGCTAAATAGGTCCACACCCTTCTGAGCTTGCATGGTTTGCTGTGCTGGTCCTGAGGGGGTGTCTGGTGGCCTCTTGAGGCTGAAGATTGTGGTCTTCCTCATGGTTGAACTTTGGAACTCTTCCTCTGCGTGTGAGCTTTCGTTCCTTCGGTGTTTGTGTACATCTGTCAGTCTTGATAGGCTTGGAGACAGAGAAGCTTCTTCATCTGGGTTCTTTGCATTCTGAGGCACAATATTGCATCATTATCATGTTCCTGAATGTCTTTTGAGGTGTTTGTTCTTTGGAAATGCTCCTTGCACTGGGTAAATATTTAAAAATCACTGTAAAACTCCATTGTTTAATTAGTGCTTAAATTATGCTGGGAATTACCCAGGGCACAGTACATTTGTTTCCACATTGAGCAGTTGTGTGTCAGTGTGGATATATAGGAAGTCTGAGATAATAACAGAATAACTCATAACCCAGAAGTCTGCAAGACTTGAAGTTTATTAATAGTGAGAATGCCAGGTAAGGACTACCCTAACTCTCTCAAATGAAATGCCCAAATTCATGTGCTGGGAATGCAAACCACAGAAGGCTTCTTCCCAAATTACCTGCTTTGCTGCAGTGGGTATTTGCTCTGGGAGACTTGACAAATCTGTGCAGCCTCAGAGGTTGATAATGGATGATCTAATCTTGTGTTCATGGCAGGAAAATAAAAATCAGGACTCTTGTAACATTGACAGGCAGTCTTTCTGCTCTTGTGCTTGTCACTGCCCTGTAATGTTTTAGCAAATGCTAGAAGTAAGTGTAGGTTTTGATCCCAGCTTAGTACAATATCAGTATAATGTATCTACCCTGTTCATCTTTGTTTGCATCTAGGGAAAAGTGATGGGAAGGAGAACAGAAGCTCTGACTTGTAAAATGTATTGGTTTTCAAATCTCCCATTTATAAATAATGTTTCTACCAAAAGCTACTTATCCTGGGGGAAAGAAAAGATTTTCCTACATCATAATTAGCACTAGAGCACTGAAAAATGCACTATTTCCAAGCAATTTGTATTTAGGGGTGTAAGAACATTTTATATGTCGAGAATTTTGGAGAAGGCAGGATATAGAACGGATTTGTGCAAGGTTGCCAGACAGTGTTACTAAACCAGATGATGCTGGGTTTTTCCTGATGCTTTCCTCCTCTCACAGGCTGAAAAACCCTTTTGTCCAAGACATTACTGTCACAAAATTCCCCCTACAGAGACCCAGGAGTGCCAGGATTCCCTAAAAAGCACAGGAGTTGTGCTCTGGTTTAGACTTTGATGACTAATTTGGGCTGGTCAAAGAATTCCAGACTGATTTGGATTGGAAGTGACCTTAAAACCCACCCAGTGCCACCCCCTGACATGGACCAGGACAACTTCCACTATCCCAGGGTGCTCCAACCCCCGTCCAGCCTGCCTTGGGCACTTCCAGGGATGGGGGAAAAAAAGGCTTTTTCTTCAGTTTATTTAAAGAACAAATATTTTTATTTGGCTTTAGCACTAGATGGGGCTAAAGGACTAAGAAGAAGAAGAAGAAGAAGAAGAAGAAAGAAAAAAACCACTGGCTGAGCCACAGGATGTGAAAATCCCCAGAAATGAAGAGGGAAAAGCCAATGGGGACAACAACTGCTGTGGGAGCCCCTTCACTCGCTCAGCTTTGAGACAGGAACCAGATCATAACTCTGCAGGTGTTGGGTTGTCAGCACTTGTGAGGGGTCAGAGAGATGTTGTAGGGTGGGGTGAGGGGTAAACCATGAGTAGGATACTTTGGACAGCAGTCCTCAGCAGCTGGATTTGCAGCACCAGCAACATCCTGCTCATCACTAAAGTCACAATCAGTTTATTTCTTGGTGTGTCTAGTGCTGAGGAAGGTGGTTAATCACCAATTAGGTGATTTCAAAATTGCTTTCACAAAGGAGGGCTGGGAAGGACAGGAGCTGCTGTTGGAATATCACGTTGGCTTTGGCATTAGACAGGCAGGAGCCATACATTAAAGAGAGCAGCAGAAAGTCTTATGTCACATATGTTCCTCCCATGCAAGTTTTAATTATAGATCTGGACTTGGCTGAGACACATCATTGAGCCCCATGTTCAGACAGCTTTTCCATGAATAAAATTGGCTCCCAAGGATGATGTGTGGAGCAGGATGTTGAACCCAAATGCATTTCAGAGAAGTCATTCTGGGTAGAGCCCCAGAATGAAGCTGAACCTCCCAGCAGGGCATAGAAATTAAACCAAATTGCAATCTCATTTGATGTATTCCTTGGGTTTTTCCCAGTTTCTGGGGAAAACAGATGGGTGGCAGCTCAGTTCAAGCAATGAACTTATGACTATGAGAGCTTTATGTTTTTTTGCCAAGAGACAGCTCTAATTGATTTCCTTGCACTGGGAAATGTTACCTTTGAAAGACAGGGTATTACTTAACACTGATCTAAAGGGAATTTTCAGTCTAGGCCTTTGGCATAGGTGGAAAGTTCTAATTTGAACAAGCAAAAGGTGAGACTGTGTAATCCTTCACCTGGATATTGCTGTACAGAGGCTTGCTTGGTCTTGAGGCATTGATATGGAAAAAATGTGTAAGAATAAATTTTCTGTCTCTTTTAGATGTGAAACTTGCCTTTGCCCTTTGGTTCTCTCCTGTCAAGTCACTGCATGAGCCCACAGGATGTCAGGAGATGATGTGGGAGTGGCATCAGCTTGGAAATGGAGTCTGGAAAGTTGAAAATAGTCAAGCAGTCCCTATTAACTTATTCCTCCTTTTTTTCCTAAGCCTTATAAAACATTTCACAGTTGAAGTCAAACTCTGTGGTAGGACTGAAATGCCAGGAGTTGATTGACTCTGCCAACATCACCCTTAATCCAAGAATGATTGAATGAAGTATTTTGAGTGTGTCCTTTGATAACCCCCTATTAAGGGATTCTTATATTTTGTTTTAAATTTGAGCTTTTCTCCTAAATTTGTGATTTTTTTTTGTTTGTTTGTTTTTAAATTGAACTCTGGACTTAGAGATGAGGTGAATTGCCCAAGGTGACAAAATTCTGGGGCAAAGAGGGAACTAAATACTGCTAGAGAAGGACTTCCAATAAATGAGAATATTTTTCATAGAATCATGGAGTGGTTTGGGTTGAGAGGGATCCTCAAGACCACGTAATTCCAACCCCCCTGCCACTAGACCTGGTTGCTTTTCCTCTGAAAACAAAAAGAAACTCCATACAATTATTGATAATTTACTGGTCCAGCCACCTGGATGTCATTGGAATTGTTTGTTCCCAGTGTCAGTTCCTATTGTGGGTATGGAAACAGATGGAAGTGTGGCTGTAAAAACATATCTGTTTGTGTGTCTTTAATACAAGACCAGTTTTAAAAGACAGAGACTTCCTAAAAGAAATGAGTCTTGAAATCTAAGCCTTGCTGGGTAATTAACACAAAATAACATCTTCCATTATTTAGGATGTAAGCAACAAAAAATATTCTTGCTCACAATAGAGAGTTTCTTCCATATATACTTGTTTCTGCTGTAAAGTTGATGAATCGGTAATGGACAGCTTAATTAAACGTTGCAGGGATATTGCTTTGGAGAGGAAACAAGTAATGAAGGGGATATAGTAAATTTTGGTGATTACAGATACAGTTGTTCAGCCCAAGCATTGCATGGTCTGCTTTGCAGGTTAAAAAAATCCCAAAGAACACAATTTCGATTAAGCTCTGCCTCACACTGCTAGCAATGGATTAGGCTATTAAACTATATTTTTCCATTAATAAAACAAATGTTAATGCATTGTTTGATGCTAATAATGAAACCATTGTAGGAAGCACAGACCCTTCCATTAACATTTATCACATCTTGTCGAGGCTGGGGATGTATTCAGGGCTTTTTTCATCAAGG